CTTTCGTTTCTTGTTGAATTATCGCCCTTTGCTAAACAAATCAAATCGTCTGCATAACAACAATACAGTTTTGGGAAAGAAGGAGAGAAATCGACATAATTTTGTTAAATGTTTGGCTTTGAGATGTCTGGTATGAACAATAGAATTCTGAAGAAACGTTTTTTATGCTACCAAAGAGAGGAAAACCGTTAATCTGTTAAATCTTGGGAAACGAATGATCGAGAAAAACGACACTGCATGAATTAGGACAGATTCTTTTAATCTTACACAATCGGCAGCAGACTCTTTCATGTTTTACAGCATTGACAGGTTGTGATACGTATTTATAATATATTCAGATGAAAAGATGTGCAAACAGAAATCCAAAATTTCTGTGACCTAACGTTAATGTTCGAACTGTTAGGATATTTGAGTAGCTTCCCTTTACATTTACGAACTTAGATAACTTACCGGGGAAAATATACCGATTGGGATAACACAACAGGTAAGTTTTTCGTGTTAAAGAACTGTAAATTATTTCAGAGAATGTTGGTAATGCCACGACAATATTTGAGAACGTTTCCTCGTTTGAGCCATTTTGAATTTCAGCAACGTTAACGTTGTTGTGATGTATTCGTGCGCAGTTTTTGAGGCGTAAATTCAATAGAAAGGTGAATGAAAGTTTCGTTTTATTTATTTAAAATCATAATTAAATGATAAGAAACGAATGTAATATTTTTTCCTTTGATCGATGTATCAAAGAAAAATTTGGACGGAAAACTTTTTCATCAATGCGCTACGCGCATTGATGAAGTTTTCCGTCCAATTTTTTCTTTGATACATCGATCAAAGGAAAAAATATTACATTCATTTCTTAAATCAAATAAGATTGACAAAATTATCAAATAGGAATGACTAATTGTCAAACAGGAATGACAAAATTATCAAATAGGAATGACAAAATTATCAAATAGGAATGATTAAATTATCAAATATTATCAAACAGGAATGACAAAATTATCAAATAGGAATGACAAAATTATCAAATAGGAATTACTAAATTATCAAATAGGAATCACGTGTTTTCAAATATCTGAATGATATGTTATTGAATAGGAAATGCCTGTCTTCGAATAGGAATGAGATGTTTATGAAAATGTATGATTATATCCCCCCCCCCCCGCTTCAAAAGCGGGAGGGTATATAGTAATCGGTATGTCCGTCTGTCCTTCCGTTTGTTACGCTTTGGGGTACCCAACTCTTATCCTCAACTCCTCTCATACCGCTGAATGAAATTTTATGAAACTTTCACAGAATCTTTATTACGTATTGCCATTGTTCACCTCCTATTTTACTTTTTGATCCGACACATATTTTGGGTTTCCCATAGCAAAACATAGACACTGCCATTATATTCATATGGGAGGCGGATGGTATCATTTAGTGAGCTCATTGCTACAGTACCTTTATTGTATTTTGGAATAGAAACAATGTCTTCCAATAAGACAATTTTTAGAATATAAATGACAAATTTTTGAATAGGGTGCACATTTATTCAAATAGGAATTATACATTTTAGAATAAAATAGTATATATTATACCAAATTTTACCTGCCAATTTTCCTTTCTCTTGTATCTTCCTCAACAAAGAAAATCAAAGTACTCAGAAGTACAGAGAGCCGGGCTCATTTACAGAGTAGAATGAATTTCTTACATGAATCACGTTTATATTCTGAAGAAAAATTATTTTAAAACTATCAATTCAAATGATAAGACACTGACAGTGAGTTTTTCAATCCTAATACCACGGTCCGATTTGTCAGAATTAATATGGTGCCGCAGCTGAATGTAAACAAACAGGCCAGTGTGGTTCCCTCTCCTGCTTTACCTCGTATGTGTAGAGAACTACGATAACACTGATTATCAAAAAATCCTTACGCTGATGAACTATGTTCTTTGACTTCGGACTGAAGTTTTCAGAGTAATCACTACTAATTATTATTAATAGATAAAACTTCGTTTTATTTTTGTTGCTTTATTTAGCATTTGTACTATCTCAAAAGCAGTTGAGAGTAAGAACTATATTTTTGCAAGTAACTTTGAAATGGCGACTATGGGGTTGACTTCCTGCCTTGAACAGGATGACATAAGCCGACAATTGCTCTTTGAGCAATAATCCCGGCTAAAAATGAATTCGAAAAAAAATACTAGTATTGTAGCGCTGAATCACAAAAAATGAGACTCTTTTTACTGCATTTTTACCTGGTTTGTAATTTTTAGCCGGGCTAAGCCTTATTGCTCAAAGAGCAATTGCCGGCTTTTGTCATCCTGTTCAAGACAGGATGTCAACCCCATAGTCGCCATTTTAAAGTTATGTAAAAATATAGTTCTTACTCTCAAGCACCTCTGAGATAATACAAACGCTAAATAAGGCAACATAAATAAAACGAAGTTTTATCTAAATAAATAAACATTAGTAGTAATGACTTTGAAAACTTCAGTCTTAAGTCAAAGAACATTGTTTTTTTAGCGTAAAGATTTCTGATAATCAGTGTTTTCGTAGTTCTCTACACTAACGAGGAAAAACAGGAGAGGGAACCAGATTGGCCTGTTTGTTTACATTCAGCTGTAGTACCAGATTAATTTTGATTCTGACAAAATCGGACCGTGGTATCTGGATCGAAAACTCACTGTCGATTTATATTGCTATTTTTAAAATAATTTTTTCATCAAAATTTTTAATCTGATATTCTTGTTATTTATCTGTTAATACAATGCAAACGAATGATTCATGTAAGAAATTCATTTTACTCTGTAAATGAGCCCGGCTCTCTGTACTTCTGAGTACTTTGATTTTTCTTCATTATATATTTTAAAAGATTTACCGTATAGCGGGTTTTCTTGGCGGGTGTAAAATTTGGCGTTTTGCCTGCTGAAAGGCATACCAATAATTTTGGCGTAATTTATTTTAGCGGACACAGGGTTTCATCTCTATGCAGATGTACTGTAAGAAGACTAAGTTAACTATTAACGGACTATTTTAGCGATTAAAATTTTAGTAGGCTGTCATCAAAACGCCAAATTAAGCCATAATTAGCACCCCGCTAAAATAACCCGGTACTTCACATCAATTGAAAGTATTAAGGCTCAAGTGAGCTTTTCTGATCAAAATTTGTCCGTTGCCTGTCGTCGTTGTAGTCGTTGTTGTCGTCTTCGTCGTTGTCGTAAACTTTTCACATTTTCATCTTCTTTTCAAGAACCACTGGGCCAATTTCAACCAAACTTGCTACAAAGTATCCTTGGGTGAAGGGAAATCAAATTTATACAAATGAAGGGCCAATCCCTCTTCCAAGGGGAGATAATTATGAATTAATGAAAAATTAATGTCATCTTTTCAAAATCTTCTTCCCCAGAACCATTGGGCCAGGAAAGATGAAACTCATGTGGAAGCATCCTCAAGTAGTGTAGATTCAATTTTGTTCAAATCATGACCCCTGGGGCCACAATGGCCGATCACAGGTTTACATATAAAGGAAAAATCTTTAAAAATCTTCTCCAGAACCACTGGTCCAGGAAAGATGAAACTCATGTGGAAGCATCCTCAGGTAGTGTAAATTCATTTTTGTTCAAATCATGACCCCCGGGGTAGGGTGGGGCCACAATGGCTGATCAAAGTTTTACATAGGAATATATAGGAAAAAACTTTTAAAAATCTTCTTCTCCAGAACCACTGGGCGAGTAAAAATGAAACTTATATGGAAGCATCCTCAGATAGTGTAGATTCAAGTCTGTTCAAATCATGACCCCCCTGGGTAGGGCCGGGCCACAACTGAGGATCAAAGATTTACATAGGAATATATAGAAAAAAAAATCTTTGAAAATTTTTGTCAAGAACCACTCAGCTGGGCCAGGAAAGATGAAACTTCAGTGAAAACATCCTCAGGTAGTGTACCAGTAGATTCAAGTTTGTTCAAATCATGACCCCCAGGGGTAGGACTGAGCCACAATGGACAATTAAAGTTTTCCATAGGAATGAATAAATTGGATTTTTTTTTTAAACTCTTCTTTTTAAAAACCACAAAGCCATGATTGGTCATATCTTTATGTAAGCATCCTCACATAGTGTTTATTCATGTGTTAGCTGTTCAAGTGTGGATCAAAGGAAGACAAAATTACTGCGAAGAATGTTTAGCATGTCTGTAAACTTTTCACATTTTCGACTTCTTCTCAAGAACCACTGGGCCAATTTTAACCAAACTTGCCACAAAGCATCCTTGGGTGAAGGGAATTCAAGTTTGTTCAAATGTAGGGCGAAGCTCTCTTCAAAGGGGAGATAATTATGAATTAATGAAAAATTAATGGTATCTTTTCAAAATCTTCTTCTCCAGAACCATTGGGCAAGGAAAGATGAAACTCATGTGGATCCTCAGGTAGTTTAGACTCAAGATTTTTCAAATCATGACCCCGGGGGTAGGGCGGGGCCATGTTTAGTATATATGTATATTTATGAGGGTCTTAATCTAACCTCAGGTCAATGCATGATGATTTTTAACATACAATTTACATGAGCAGCCGTCCGCTGAACTCATGTATCTTAACTCAAGACTACTAGTATGCAAGCAGATTTCGACATACGATTTTCCACCGTACAACCAGGCTAACAAAAATGGCGCAAAAAATTTATTGTGTTAAAAATCCGTAAAAGGACGTAAACTCTTCCAAGAAAAGTAAGGGTTGCAATTTTGCAATCAAAGATGATACAATAATTGCGTCTTCGATAAGGGTGCATATCCGGCAGACTGCGCAGGGATATGCGGAATTATCTGAAGGTGTTAAATTTAACAGATTTCTCATAGCGGCATAAATTGAATTATCTGTGATAATATTGTTTTATATCGCAGGAAGTCCCTATTTTCCCCAAAGAAGATTTAAACGTCAACATTTTGTACAACATTTTTATTTCATTTAAAAGAGATACAATTTTACAATTCTATTACAATTTGATTGACACAACAAGCAATCTAAGTGTGTAAGTTTATGATATCTGGCTCAATTAATTGACACAGACATTTCCTCTGCATGAATGTATTATGTCTGTTATATGTAAACAAAGGTAATAACTTCCATTCTGCAATACTATGATGCATTTCAAATATTTTGTCCAATAAAAGATCCTCAGCTTTTCCCTAAAATATATAAAGAGAAAATTATTTGCAACATTAATTAAAAAGGTCAGCATATTGTTTTCAAACCTGTGTCTTTTCAAAGAAGTTGAATATACCTGAATTTCATCTTCAGACTTGTGTGGATATTTTTGCTTCAATACATGGGAAATAAAATCCTGCAAGGAAAAGTTTTTCTCTTTTAAACTTGTTTATGACGTAAAAGAGTATGTAAAATTGATTTTAATTTGTTTTCCAAATAACTTTGAGAAAGCACAGATTTATGGAAGTACCTTGCATGGATCTGTATCGTAATGTAATATCACAATCTTGGAATCTTTAAGGAAGTTTTTAAGACTATGATAGAATAATTAAAAGGACTCTTTCATTTAGGGTGAAGATTGAGCATTATAGATACCGGTAATAATTTTTTTTTCTTTTTGCATAACTTTTACATATCAAAATTAAGATTAAATTCGGAAATGCCCCTTATGAAAGACACGAATGAACGTCATTTTTAATGTCCACACAAAAAGCATAAATCATTACCTTGAACTGACTTTTTTAAAAGGATACAGTTTGTGCATTTCTCAATAAAGGAAGAACTTTGGTATCACTGTATGTTTTCCGAATGATTTTATGCAAGACATTGAATGCTTTCACGTGAAGCTAAATTAAGTTAATCATATATTAGATATCAAACATTTCTCGTAAATGTCAATCTTCTGTAAGACAATGAGACAATATAATTAAATTCATTAATCTTCAAAGAATATTATTAAGTATATCTAACGAAAATATATTTAAGGAATCACTGTCTAGTTTGTTTGGTATGCCAGGGCAACAACGATACTTGGAAGCGTGGGATAATTATCCCACATCTCCATCTATTGTTGATTCATGGATCGTATGTTGTTTAACGTCCCACTCGAGCATTTTTCAATCATATGGAGACGTCACCGTATGCCGGTGAAGGGTTTCAAATTTAGACCTATACTCGGCGCTCAGGACCATTGAGCAGTGAGGATTCTTTATCATGCCAAGGCCTACCGTGACACGGGGTGTACGCTTTGGTCATATCCGAAAGACCCGCGACTTTCACTCGTAATGCCGAGCGTTTAGGGAAGGAACAGTCACTACCTATGTTTACGTCTTAGGTTTGACGTGGCGCCACGAACGGAAATCGAAACCTTCAATGAAGGTCGTTATTTTCCTTTATTAAAGTAGCACGTTCAAACGATCTTTTCACTAGATTGCTTAGTCATTTAAATTGGTTGATCTATCAGTGAATTTTTTAATGAACACATAGTAATATACGTATCCTGTGTTCATACGTACTTATCCAGATAATAACAAAATATAAAATGTTCCATCTATGTATACATTGTAGTCTGTCTAAATGGCTACATTCAAATTCATGCGATAAGACCATGCTAATCGCTTTTAAGCCTCCTTAAAATCAATTGGGACGTTATGAACTTTTGCATTTTCTGTATTTCTATATATAAAAAAAGTTGCAAGATACATTAATTTTCCGTGACATTTTGTGTCAAACGACTTTGGCTAGCTTAAATTTATCCTTATTTTTTTTACATGCACTTTTCAATTATTCTTACGTATCATATCTAAAAGTTGAAGTGGACAACGTCTGTTGGCACTCTTTTCTTAAGAAAAATAACTTTCAATTCTTCTATCCATATTCATTTTTTCAACTCATATTTTAGCGAATTTCAGAAAATTTCTGAAGACCAAATTCGTAAATACTTCTATGACAAAATCAACTATCTAGAGGGAAAATTCGGACTCTTTCTTTTTGAAAAATGATAAATCTGAGTATACTTATATACTTATATTTATACTTTATAAAACTGTGGAAAACGTTTTAATTGACTTTATGTTTAACTTGTATTCACTAATAAAGACATTTTTAAAAATATATTACCGTAATTCTATAAAGAGATGCAAAATAAAGAACTGGCGATGGTACTAAAATCATCACTGGAAGAAACACCGCATAAACTGTACCAATGGAATCTCTAGGTATTGGATCTTTCGTTGACAAATACAGCATAAAAAAGAGCAAAAAGACTCCTACTGCACTTATATAAAGAAGAATCGAAAATATTATCCAAAACCGTATGCTTTTCAGATAGAATTTAGTGCAGTATTTACAAGAATTCAAAAGCGTAACCACTTCCTGGGAAATTCGGTTTATCTGAAAAGAAAATAAAGACGTAAGAAATTTTCATTCAAAACTTAAAGAAAAAGCTTGGATATGGATGACTTAAGAAAACCAGCTTTAAGGATTATTTTTAAGATTTTAACAAACATTTCTATTCTTAAAGAAATATTAAATATTCCATTATTTGAAACGATAAAGGTGAAAATAACATGGCGCAGTCGAGATTGACAATGGTTTTCGAGGGGTGAAATATTTCAATATTATACTTTCATGTAAATTAGTTTAACCTGATTGTCGAGAAACATTTGTTAAAAAAACACTATTATCCGCTGAATGATGAAGCTACGCCCTCCAGCGTAGCAACAGTCAACAGTGCTTGACGAGGGTGATATTCCAAAAAATAGCGACTGCGCAGAATTTATGCGCGTACGGTTCACTGTTATATGTATTTGTATAAAACATTCAGTATGATATAATAAATAGTATAATATAATAAAATATTGCATTGTCAACCTCGGCTGCGCCTCGGTTGACAATGGTTTTCTTGGGGTGAAAATGTTCAATGTCACACTCAACTACATACAATAGTTATATAATGCTACGCTCCCCTACATGGGATATTTATTATAATATTCTGAATGTTTTATACAAATCCATATTACAGTGAACCATGTGCGCATAAATTAAATTCTGCGCAGTCTGAAACTTTTAAACCTTTTATTTCACTAAAGCCCCCACATGGAGTATGTTAGTACATTAAGAGTTTAACAATAAAACAAATCAACATATGAACAGATAACATAATGCATATGGTTTTTGATAAGGACAGTCAACATTTTTGGAATATCACCCGTCGTCATGCAATGTTGACTGGTGCTACATATACGCTGGATGATGTGGCTTCACTATTCACCAGGTAATAGTGTTTTAGCAAATATTTCTCAACGAGTCAGATTCAACCAATTAACATGAACTAGATTAAGACTCTATTGAATAACAAACTTGATCAACTAGAGAACATATATAAATTATCATACTGAGAACAATTTATATTAAGTTTTTTTTTAATTGTGAAATAATTCATTAAAATTTAATTTTAAACTCATTTAAGCAACTGTGGGTGTAGAATTTCGTTGTTTTTATCAGTTCAAATAGTTGAAGTGCTGGGTGGTGCATGGGAGGGGATATAGAAACTCATACTTAGGTTAAAGCATCGTGCGTTGTTTGTTTACATGTGGTAAGATCGAGTTACTACCTGTGGTAGGTGTTTGAAGTGAAAGGTACATTAATTTAATGTGGAATTTTCCATGAACCCCAAGGACTAGAAAATAGAGGATTGCATGGATACATATGATTGAGATGATTGCTGGGGGGGGGGCATACCAAACCAGGTATAATTTGTTCCCTTTTGGATATTAACCAAACAGAGGCCAGAGTACAAACAGAATAAAATTATATGCAGTTCACTGTTGATAATTCTTTCAAATCATTTGTGTTCTCCTCAATTATACCACAGAATGCATTTCAAATTTAACTACTAAATGTAAAACTAACCTTTTCTAAACGCTCTTCGTCCTTAACATCAATGAACAAATTTTCCTCATTCTTGAACTCTAGTTTCTCAAATAAACAATTTTTAACTGTGCCTGAAATTGTTTGTAAAACCGACCCATTGCAGCAGTCTGAAAAGAATAAATGTAAATAAATAGATTTTGCACTGTTTTCCCAAACTGTAAAATTGATATTTGTTTTTAATTTACTTACCGTCAAATGGTAAAAGAACATTTGGCAAAATACAGTTTTGAGAAGCTGTAAAACATGAAGAAAATAAGAATGAATAAAATGAAAACCAGGCCCAGGTGATTTTAAAATACTTAGTATTTTAATAAACCACACTGTAGATCTATACATTGTATCAGCGATAATCTATCTAAGTAGTTTTTATTTAAAAGTTAATTTGATGAATGAAATGGCAACAGATCAATATTAAATTGAAAATATGCATTTAAATATCAAATTATTGGGAAAATAACTGGCTTTAATTTTTTTGATAAGTGTTCGAAATTGAAGTTGTACATATTTGCCAACATATTCTTTTCTTGATAGAGAAGTTTGTCACACACATATATATATAAGTATGTTCAGCCTATTAACATACACACACACCCTCTCCAACCGCCCCCCCCCCCATACACACACACCCTCTCTCCCTCGCACACACACACACACCCTCTCTCTCCCTCCTCCTCCCCTAATTCACACACACACTCACTCACACCCTCTCACGCACGTTCTCGTTAATGTGAGAGTTATAATGTTTTGCCGAAGAAGTATTTTAATTTTCTTATGACTTGCATGTATTTGCCTAACTGCTGAATTATAAAACTCTTTGAAAGTTTCTTGAGAGGCTATATTTTAAGCTAAAGGGAAATATTGTGCAATACATTTCTGTTACTTTCTGGTGTTAACAAATGTAATACATAAATGAAAATTAAAAAAATCATTATCGTTTTGTGTAGAAAGTCAAAAATATAGTTCAAAGTAATGAGGGGGGGGGGGGGGGGAGAGAGATGGGTAAATTGCATTACTTACCTCCATACTTGAAAGCATGAAATATTTTCTCCACTACACATAAATTTTTATTTCTAGCATCAATATAATTGAAGGTTTGTAATTCTCTCGGCATTGGTGCATCAAGTAGAACAGGAATAATGCAGTTCTGGGCACTGCTGTGTGCAGCAAAAATCCCATTGGCAACTTCCATTTGACACATAATACTTTCTTTGAATGAATTACTGACAAGGTAAACTATTTTCATACTCTTTTCCATTCCATTTATGACGTTGGTAATCACTTGTCCTCCAGCAGGGGTATCTTCATATGTTAGACATTTCAGTCCAAATCTGTTCTGCAGTGAATCTATCAGTTCAAACGCATACTCTCTATCCAGGCTACTGTATGATAAGAATATATGATACTCCTTTCCATAAGGCAAAGGTACTCCTACAGGATATTCTTGTAATTCAATGTCTTCATATCCAAGATTATCCATCGCTTTACATATATTCTGCAAGAAAACCGCAGCAATTGATTAAGCAAAACTATTTTTACACAGTAAGTTAACTTTAAATAGCCTACAACGCATGAAAAAAACTGATTTATTTTTAGAGTGATGTAATACATGTAATAATACCCAACCATTGAATTGAATGCAGAAATTACTTTTACAAAAAGAAAGGCTCTATTCAAATTAAATGCCAAAAAATCTATTAAAGCGTTGTCATGGCCTGGTTAACAATAAGAATAAAAGACACTAGCTGAAATACACTTTAAAAAGAATTTTGAAATGGATTTACATATTCCATAGATAATACGGTATAGTAAATGCCAAAAAAATCTATCAAAGCGTTGTCATGGCCTGGTTAACAATAAGAATAAAAGACACTGCAATACACTTTAAAAAGAATTTTGAAATGGATTTACATGTTCGATAGATTTATTCATACGTTAAAGATGATTTGGAATTATAAATTAGTTTTTTGATTACTGATTGAGTATGTGGTCAATGCCCCAAAGCAGCTTTTCAGTTTTTATATTTTTGATGCTTTCTTCAGGGCAGGTAAATCAATTTGATGTTTGGCCTTTGTAAATAAAGTAAAATGTTTTTGTTTGTTTATTATATCATTTATTCTTTTAAATATAATTTTCGAGTTAAAAAATATTCAAAAATTAGACAAATTTTATTAACGGTATTTTGTATACGATATTTTTGTCATTGGTCAATTTTTTTTTATATAATCATTGATTTCTTAATATCAAAGTGCTCGTTTCATATTTGTACATGTCTTTTGTTAAATTCATTTAACTGTTTTGGTTTGTAATTCATTTTTAATAAAAAGATTATTTTGTTGCAGATAACACACCAATGGGGGTGCAGATATCCATCGGGAATATATAAGGGCATGTGCGTACAATGTCCAGAGGACACGTTGCATGAGGAATACTGGTCTAACGACATCTGCACAGAAAAATGTTCCCAAACCAACCCTTTGATTTTGGGAAGCTCCTGTATCACGAGATGTCCTCGGGGATATACAGAACATAGGAACAGGAACATAAGATATTGTAAAAATGGAACACTTCCTGTAGATGAACCCTGTCCAATCAATCGATGTAAAAATCCTCTTGGTGTTTGTTACAAACTGAGATGTTTAAAGTCTTGTCCAGCCTTCACTATCCAATACGACGATAATTGCGTAATTGAATGTCCTCCAAATAAGCCTTACATTAACGATAATCTGTGTGTCGAAATGTGTCCAATCAATTCCCCATTTGTTGAAAATAAAATATGTGTTTCCTCTTGTTCAAAAACCTATTTTAAATCAAACATGTCCTGTGTACACAATTGTTCAGAAAAGGAGTATGTGGATGGAAATAATTGTGTTAGGAACTGTACTAACGGCTACGCTTTTCAGATGAGAGGGACCCGTTTATGTGTAGATTTTTGTCCAGAAGACACGGTGTCAGTCAACAAAACTTGTCAGATCTCTTGCTCAGAACAATTGAATTTTTATCATAATGGCACTTGTGTTAAAAAATGTCCTTCATCTTCAAAGTTCGTTTTGTCATCGTTGACAAGATTTGAAACAACATTTTTCAAATGCGTACAAGAATGCCCACAATTCTCTAACTTGTATAACATATGCGTACAGCGCTGTTCAGGTTATGAATATGTACGTGGAAAATCTTGTGTAGAAAACTGTTCTGAAGATTATATTTTTGAGACCAAGGATTTCCGTCATTGTGTAGATTCTTGTCCAGATGAAACCGTAACAGTCAACAAAAGTTGTCATACCTCGTGTGCTAGAGACTATCCATTCTATTTAAATGGCACTTGTGTTAAACAGTGTCCTTCTCCCTCCAAATATATTTTGTCATCACTAACAGTATTTGGTAAAACTCTACGTAAATGTGTTCGAGAATGTCCAAAGTATTCTTCTATGTGGAATTTCTATTGTGTTGACGTATGTAAATCTTATGAAGTATTATACAAAAACGAATGTAAAATCACATGTCCACCTTCTGATCCATATCGTGTAGGATATGACGCTTTTATACTTAATCGATTCACTTTCAATACAACATACATCATTACAAGACCAATTAATGCTTTTTCTGTGTGTGTTTCACACTGCGAACAAAGTTATGTTGTGGATGAGGATCAGTGTCAAGAAGATTGTTTCAACTCAAGCAGGAAAATGGAATTTAATCAAACTTGTATCGAAAAATGTCCATCAGATTATCCAATGATGTTACGAATCAAAAGTAGATTTAGGTGTGTTGAAAACTGTCCATTCGTGCAATACATGAACATCTGTAGAACTTACTGTGGGGAACATTTCCGTATAAACAACACGTGTGTTGATGAATGTCCCTATGAGAATTTGTTTGAGTTTCAACAATATCAGGCAGGGCGATCACAATTAACTGAGAAGGTCTGTCAATCCAACTGTTCAGCTTTTCGCATTGGCAATAGATGTGTTGACCGTTGCCCACAAAGTAAACCATATATGAATGGGATGTTTTGTTTAGAGAAGTGTTCTGACGCTGGAAAATTTCGAACATATTACTCTTTTGATTGCATTAATTCTTGTCCTGATGCTTATTATAATGGTGAGATATGTGTCAGCAAATGTCCGCGGAGTGCCCCTTTCAGGGTAAACAGTACTTGTGAGAGAAATTGTCCTCCAAATTACCCCTATAAAAACGTTATCCTTACGGATGTTGACAGTTTCAATCTTTATAGTGGGTATTACAAATGTGTTGATGCATGTCCAGATGGAAAATTTACACTAAACGATAAGTGTGTTAAATATTGCCACGAACCAAAACCTTATGAGCAAAATAATACCTGTTCTGAAAACTGTCCCCACGAATTACCCTATGCTGTTGAATACGAAAATCTTAATGTTTACCCATGGGCCACTGATTATGTTAAATTTTTCAATAAGTCATCATTCAAATGCTCGAAATCATGTAAAGATAATCAATTCAAAGTGAATACAGTGTGTTATAACAAATGTCCAAAAGGCAAAGAATACATGAATAGGTGCTTTGAAGACTGTCCACCTGAATCCAAATGGACGTTTGAAAATAAGTGTGTTCCTAGATGTCCACTGCATACATACAGTTCAGTACTTACAATGTCCTGTGTTCCGTCATGTCCTCCTGATTCGTTCAAAGATGGGACTTTTTGTTTGAAAGGCTGTTCAGATCTCAGACCTTTATATGTCAAAACCGAAAAGTTTAAGTTTCCCAATCATCTATTTTATTTTGAATGTTTCAGGTCTTGTCCAGATTCACTTGTGGCAAACACAGCAAATGAATGCATTGAAAAGTACGACTGTAACGATTTTGTTTATGATGGCAAATGCCTATTAGCTTGTCCAAAAGACACTTTTGAAATTGAAGTGAAATTGTTAATTGGTAAACGATTATCTTGCAGCTCATTGAGACCCTATTATTTTACTTTAATATTTTTGTGTCCAGTATTGGCTTTTTTCCTATTTGTTATCTTCAGGATGGCTTTCCAGAGAGGGAAATGTGAGGTAGCGTATGTTTATGTATCTTTACAAAATGCATTCATATTTTTTAAGATTTCTTGTGATTCTTACATTTTGAATTAGGATATTACAAGACATAAAGTGATGGTTTTTTTCCGAATTAATTTTTTAAATAACATAAGTCCTATTACTGAGGCATTGTTATTATTCTTCATGTCTTTAATGAAGCTAAACTTGTTTATCTTTCACCAAATCCTTTTTATTTGAGAACAATATAGGTATATATATATATATATATATAATGGATGGAACTAATGCAAGATCAACAAATAACTATTACACTGTTGTAATTTTGTATTTATTTCCTCTCAGTAAACTTAAAATTCATTACATATTACAGGTAAATATAATAATTTTAGTTCGAATCGTTAAGATTTATAATCATTACAATGATGGTTTTAGTAGTTACTGCGGTAGTAATATGATATTGATTTTTTTCATATAATACGACTTTTTATACCTTTTCAGACAATATCATATATACAGGAAGATGACCCTAAAATAAATGAAACACTTTTATTGAAAAAGAATCTTGGAAAACATCTTGTGAGAGTATTTGGAAAGAAGAAGAAAGTTTATGCTCTCGAAATGGACAGTGAAAAAGACAACGAAAACGAAGAGACTGCATTTTAGCTTGTTCAAAGAATGAATTAAAATCAACATATTATTTTAAATGTATACAGGAACTATTATGTTATGTGTACTAGCATTTATATAGAATGCTCCAAATCTGTTCATTGTTGAAAATATAAGAAAAAAATTGTCTTTGAGAATTTCTTGTTGATTTTTTTAATTTCTATTTCCAATTTCCAAAAACTAGAACCCAAACTAGTAAATTAAGACACAAAGATTAATACATTCTTTGGACTTGTTTACAGTGAAAAGATTACGATATCGATCGGTAAAAGATATAAATAAAAATCCTTCAGAGAATATAAATCTGTAAAACGGTATAAAAACACAGGCCCCCGAATATAACAGAGATGAGACCAAGTGCCTAAGAGGGCTTAGCCTTCACTTTCGATACACGGGTCACATCAGCAGTTAGATCTATAGGAATAAATGAGGTTGGCAAAATAATTGGAGTACAAAAAATAATGGTTGTATTATATTTATCATTCAATATTATCAACATGTGTATTACATGTATTGCATGTGTATTTTAATAAAAACACGTACGGGCTTTAGTTTAGATATGTAGATAGGTGACCCAAGTGCAGACCATATTTCTTAAATTAACTTTAAATGGTCATACGTACCCGTATCTATATATTGTTATTACTTAAAATGTTTAATGAATACCATAAAACTGTCTTTTTCCCTAAGAAGGCACCGCTTTGGGAAGGTAATTGTCTTTCTCGGAAAATCATAAACTTGCTATTGCCCTCATTCCCATTCCTTAACTGTATTTTGTATTGGTTGAGCAATTGTAATGCTATAACATACTTTTGTAAATTGTGACATGACCCGGCGAGTTTTCCTTTGAAGTCAAGCATATTGTAACTGCGATACAGAACACTTTTTGAGGGCGTTTCTTATGCAAATGAACAGAAACTGTACTGTATCTGCAAAATATCAACGATACAGTACGGTTTATTTTTAGCGATGACGGAAAGCTGTATCTGTATACAGACACAGCAATCGTTCAATACGCATGATAGAACTGGTAGCATTTACTCAAAATTTGAGATGAATTAAGAGTAAAATTTTACAGCATGAATTTATTAGTGTAGGATTCGAAAATTTTAGAAAGCAGGGAGTTTGGCAGATCACAAATGATTACTTTGAACCCCCCCCCCCCCCACATAAAAAAAAATCAGTGGAAAATCGTATTTCGTGAGGTTAGATTTACAACCAACCAAGACACTATGTGCCTGATATCGTAACCTAGTATATATAAATTAAAAAGCATATCATGTACACAAGTTTATCAAAAATCATTTACGAAAGTGAAAAAATAAAAAGGGTGGGATGGAAGGCACAAGTGAGTGCTGGGATCACCTTTGTTTACACTACATTTTATTAAAAACATGTAGGTAAAATACCCCCCCCCCCCCACCTTTCACCTGTTTATTTCAATTTTGTTTATGACGACCGGTGGAGGACATTGTCGGACACCTCTCTCAGATTACATTTTCCCCAAAGCATTTTTGTTTCAAAAATATTTCCACATGATTCTTACGTACCTCGTATCAAAATGTATTGCATTCAATCGTAGCTTAAAGTTGAAAAAATGTCAGCAAGAGATGAATAGAGAAAAAAATCCTACGCAATGAAATCTACATTTAATTTTTTGGAAAACAAATTATATAATGCATCCCCTAAATAAATATTTCAAATGATAAATACCTGCACGTCCACCTCACTCGACATTTCAGTTGCAAATGCTTAAAATGTGATACTAAATCAACTTTCTGCAAAATCATCTGATTGGTTGAGTGATATGTACCCAAATACGCATGTAAATATGTAAGGTCAATAAAAAGGTCATGTCACAAGACATTTAAAATACGAGTTTCCTACTGTATCGGAGATACAGGGCGGGGCCCGGCTCGAGCTATCGCTCTCGCCTCAAGCCCCGCCCTGTATCTCCGATACAGTAGGAAACTCGTATTTTAAATATAACTTAATAGTGAGGCAGTCGAGGTTGCTGATGGGACGTATTTGTTTTCAAGAGAATGGAGACAAAAAGGCTACAAAACCTAACTGGATACCCTACGTTTCGATTATATTAACACAGTTTCAAAGGAAACCTTTTAGAATGAAGGAATTATGTTGTCTTCAATTTGACTTTCAAATACAAGTACATCATCCTTTTATCAATCAACAGTAACGGCTCCCATTCATTCGTTGACTCGATTTGTCCATGTGTACTTGAAAATAATTCTTTTACATACTAGTATGTTACATCTCTTCACAGACAATTTTAGACAGTGACAAACTAACAACTTAATTGTATAACAAACGAAATGTTTCTGCTTTTCCATTGTCAACTCAGTCTGTCTTTTTATAAATATTTTGCTATCAACTGCAAATTGTGTTTCCTCTGACTCTCAACTTTTTTCTCTACTAACAAGCATGTCCTGAGCACAATTATTTTTTAAACTAGGACAGACTACTGATACATCAGTATACATAGTTTCAGTATCAAATATTAAATTTTATTCATTCATGTATCATGGATATAATATGTTTTCAAAATGCAAAGGTACAAAATGCTTCCAGAATATTTGTGCACTGAAAACTTGGATATATATTATCAAGAATATTACACGTTGGGTCATTTCAGCGGTATCTTAATTTTGAATTAAACATGTGTATAGAGGCATGTGTATGCCGGTTAAATACTTGATATAATTTTCTTAATGCATACACGCGTAAAATTCCGCATTTTCTGTATCAAAAGTACCTCTATCAGTTTTTGCAATATACATATACTTGAAATTGCACTTTTGCCTATTGAATATTACATATACAAAAATATAACATTGTTATTACCAGGTCCCTCTTATTACGAAATATGTTGCATGCATGAAGAAACGTTCCAACCTCAAAAATGGTGAACAAAATGATATGGCGTTGGATGTCCAAAAAGAAATGCTTGCAATAAGTCGTATAAACAAAGTTAAAATAAAGCTTGAAATGGATTTCAAATAGTCTTTGCAATTGACAACGCAAGGTCTTTTGTGAATGTCACAGAAAGGATGCTTTATTGCACACAAGGCTGTACATATGATCAAATTACGTCAGTCATGCGTCCTCCTCTTTGCTGTTATTTTTCATATTCACAGCGCCCTCTGAGGAGTAGTACATGGCGTTCCCTGGCCGCCACTTCCTGCAGGATACTGTCTTCTTTTAAGGAATATTACTCCAAAGGCAAAAAGTCCCGAAATGAAGATGATAGCGACCAGTAGACCTGCTAGACCCGCTGCTGACAAACCGCCACCTGGAAGGAGGTAATCTCATTTTAAATCAATCAACTGCAATATGTTTTCAACAATTTTGCAAATGTACCCATTTAAGTGGCTAGACAACTTTTGAGGTACATGTACGAATTAGAGTTATCCATCTAAATAATAAGATATTGATGGCAAAATATTATTTTATTCTGAAAACTTTCATACCGAAAAAAATCTTTTTTTGTTATTTAAAAACATTTCTTAGTATACTGACATGAAGTTAAATCTAGTAATACTTATAGACGTTCTGTTATTGTAAAACGTTAAAGATACATACTAATTGATGATGATGTCTGTTGCTGAGGGGCCGCGTTTGCATTTCCCATTCCCTGTGGTTGTGTAATAGGTTGAAGTGTCTGCCGACTGGGGTGATCCGGCTGGTTGGGAAATTCGTAAATGACACAGGTGCCCATGGGTTGTATCCTGTTGTACCTGGATTCGGATTCAGAGGTGGGAGATTTCCACTTGTCAGTTTGAACCCCACAGTGCTCATTTCTAAAAATAAATATAAAATTTATACTTATCCATGGATCCTTAAACGGAGTTAGATAATTTCAATAGAAATACTCTTGGGCATAATACATAACGAAAAGTCCTGGGGTTTTATTATTTGACTCGTTTATATATACGAAAAATCATATATTTTACTTAAGTTTATCGACACTTAATTATACCAACCATCAAACTGAGATTAAGGAACAGACTGAGGTTTTATTGTGTAAAACCTACAACAGAAAAACTTTTTATTTTTATACATGTACCATATATAACATTGACTTCAGTGTACATGCCAAGTTTGGGGAAAATCTACCTCCCAGGTATCTTCAAGGGACCGTCTCAAAATACAGGTACATTTACCATAGGATTATATTGGAAAGTGCCCATATATTTTGCACTTTATAGCGAATCATACAAATACGACAATTTACCTTTTGCTCACACTATAGTACGTGATGAGCCATACATGTACCATATTGTGCATTATATGTAAGAACCACAACATTCAACCGCCTTCTTTCCAGAAGGGGCATCTCAAAATGCCAAAAATATGAATTTCCTGTTTTTATAAAGAACTACAAAATGTCACGCATAAAAAGGATTTATACAAAAAAAATAATTATAAAGGGGATGTTATCAAATTTCTATGTTTTAAATCTCAAGAGAATATATTTTTCCTTTTTAACATCGCCTGGGGAACATAAAAAGCAGCTGTGAACACTTCCAGGGTCTCATAGTTATTAACGTCTGCAACGGCGGCAAAACACGTGACAAGACTGTTCCCAAAAGTTGGAGGATACAAGTAAACAAGTCATCCACATTTATCAGTATAGCATACATTTACGATGCTAAACATTTAGAAAACTATTTTGTTAAACTCTAAAAAAAAAATATGAAAGGCACAAGCACAAAGGATATAGTATTACTTTAAAGTACACTAAATCGTGAATCGAACACAATTCCTACTTATTAATTTGTGACCAGAGCAACAACTTATTTCGAATTTTTTTAAAAACTTTTTCAGTGCGAGCATATAAATGATTATTAGTTCTATCAGATAAGTTCATTTCAATGTGATTAAAAAAAACGCTAATAAATTCCGGAAGAAGCAAATAATATTACTGGTATTTATTCCCCATTCCCCATATTTTTTACATTATCCTTAACAAACTTTTGGGATAATTTTTAACTAAATGAATGGTTCCTTTTCATCATTTTTTTAAAAACACCATCTCAAATTCCTTCCTCTAAACTCTTACAAAAAGTGTTTTTGGACTAAGAGAAAAACATCATATCAAGGTTTGCATATTGGGACTATTTAGTTCATATTTCAACATAGGGTACCAGGACAGGAGACCATACGAAGGCTGTTCAATAAATGATGTCATCGGTGCTCGGAAAGAAACAAAAAATGCTTTTCAATGATTTAGTCTTAATGATTTAACTTAAATATTCTCTTTTAATTAAAACACATGTCTGTAACATTTTTATTCAATTTCCAATTGTTTTAGAACACATTTTTGTGTATGGCCCTTTGTATACTGGGATATGGCAGATCCTATTATTTCCTGTACTTATTTTCTTTCTGAAAGGTTTTTTTTTCAAGTTTGGGAAATGAAACAAGTCAAAGGATAAAAGATTTTGCGAATATTGTTGGTGTGACAAAACATTAACTCTCTGTTTATCCCACTACGAAAGTATGTGATAAAAAGTGGTCACGTAAACTGTTATCAATTCATTATAGATTCCAGAATGAGAGGAAGTCAAGCTAAATATCATATTAGTCCAGTCATATTATCAAATTTTCCATCAAAATGGGAACTAATTGCAACAGTTTCAAAACTTAGTTTTAATCAATCTATGAGATGATCTGAATATATAACAAAAAGTTTAGAAAAATTCATACATGGGAAAATTGAAAAGTTGAGGTCATTATTGCGACGCATTGTGTTCACTCTGATTCAGTGTCAAACGAACAACGTAAAGTAGAAACTTCTATACTGGTTTTAAAATAAACCATGTAAGTAGGGAAATAATCTCAAATGAATAAACTGAAGGGGAAAAATATTTAATTTTGGTGACTATATGTGTTGGTTGCCATGGAAACAGTATAAATTGAGAAATTCGCCTACTTTTGAACAATGAACCTTTATAATAAACATGAATACAGTCACTACGTTATTTTACACACAGACATACTCAAAATGCATTCTTTTGCCATAAATGCTTTAAGGAAATTATTTAGAAGATTTATGTAAATAGGTGGTAACCATGGATACATTATAAATGAATTTTACGTGAAGAAAAATCTCGGTATTCAGCAATGCTAAGTATAACACGACTATACTCAATCACCAACAGTTAAGAAACAATAAAAATGTTTGAATTAATATGAAAGGTAATATCCGAAAATAATTAGGTGCAGATCTAGAGGGGTCAGGGGACATCCACCCAACAAGAATTTTTTATGAAAAAGTAGCGGATAATGCCCCCCTTTCCTCCCGGAAACATGAATCCCTCCTGTAACTGAAAGGTTTTGCCCGTATATGAAGAAAGATCTCACAGCATCCCAACCCCTCCCCGAAATAGATTTATGTTTTTTATTCTGGATTAGGTAGGTTGTTAAATTTTTTTCTCAAAAATATTTTAAGGGGGATGTACGGCCACCTTTAGTGCTGTGAGAACAAAATGTAAACATTTCTTCAAATGGCTAAAATACATCATATTTTGATCAAATTTTAAGTCCTTATGATAAAGATACAATAAATATTCATAACTGAATGCATGTTGTGCATATATAATCTATACTTTTGCAGAAAAATGCTTTTGATATGCTCCTTAGAACTGCGCAGCTACAGAATTCAGCAGAGCCTTAAAAAATCCAAAAAAATATGCAAACTGTGCATCAATGTTCTCTCTACAACCATTTGTTGAGAAAATGTCTAAATTTTGCACTTTTAAATGATAATTTCAAGTTCAAAACAAGGTATCATTGTCTTCAAAAAGAGTGTAAAGAACCATGAAAGTAGTTCATGGGTAGCAGCACGTGGTCTATTTTTAGCACAGAATTTTGTTTTCCAGACCTCTTCTTAATATGGAGGGACATAACAATCTTTAAATGTAGAAGAGAATTACAGTTGCAAAATATTTCAAATAGGCCTAATATGATTAACACTTTTAAAAGAGGAAATGTGTTATAGTATGGCTTGAAGTAGTTTATTTACTATAGTATTATTATCGAACAGTTGTTAAATAATGTACTTATTGATATCAAAGAAAAAAATCTTAAACTCTTTGATTCCAGGTAAGGAAAAATGAGCACCATCAAAGTTAAGAATTAAGAGTTTGTAAGTTTGTCACAGATAACATAATATATATATCAAAATTTTAATTATCACCAATGAAACACAAAGAAATTAAACACATAAAATCGATATGAATGACCTTGATTTAGTACCTACTAATACGAGGGGTGATCACAGCTATCTCTATATCTACAAAACCACAATTCAGATTAGAAACAAATTTGGTGCACACATAGCCAAACACAAGTTCTATAAAATAGCATATGCTGAATAAAGTTTTGCTCATAATGACGTCATTATGCAGGTACTTGTGACAAAAATTAGTTGCCTCGGTGGAACTCGTTTAACAAACGACTAAAATATTTATGGTATATCTTAAAAATGCCTTTGAAGTAGCATATAAGAATTTGTTCATAGTTTATTAAGACAAATGGCTTCCTACAAATTCAATCAATGATTGGATAGATCGTTTTAGTGAAGGAAGGCAGATGGTTAAATATGATATTTGTTATATTGCCCAGTGATATATTAGCAAGTTTGAAAAGGGATATGTGTTTTTGATTAAGCAATATGCTATCAAAGACCTCCAATTTACACTTTGAAAATCAAAGACCTCCAATTTACACTTTGAAAAATACTTGAATATTTCAACAATAATATACTGTAAATGTATTATATTTGGCGTGTACGATATTTGGCTGAAAATTGAATTATCAACAAGTTGGCGTAGATTTAATTTAGCACTTTTTGAATGTGCGTTACATAAACCTTTATACACAAAGCATTTAGCGATGTACTTGATTTAGCGGAGGCTGATTTCCGCGAAAGGCGCTAAAAAGAATACATCCCAAATGTAATACGTTTACAGTAACTATCAAATACCTAAGAAATATCGTTTACTTTTTGATCTACCCTCGTATACTCTGTCAAATAAACATTTACAATTTTGATTTTAGCGGAGCTACATTTTAAAAGGAATGAAATCATTCAGAGTGGGTTAGGAGATTTAATGAATAAAAAAAACTTTTTCTATTTGCCCTTTTTGTCAAAATTACAATTTTACAGAGTAAAGAAAAAAATCAACATTAACAGATATTTTATACCATCTTTAAAATGACGTTTGGTGGTCCTCCCAACTCAGTGAAAAATTATTGGGTCCGTATTTATAGGTGAGAAAAAAATTCCTAAAATTTTAAACATATTCGTTGACGGAAGAAAAAAAAACATGTAATGGGATGTAAAAAAAAAATTGAGTCGGGCCATTTCTAGGCAGTAGATCGGGAGAGAGGGCAACCAAATATTTTTATAACAAATTAATTGTCTGATAAGGCTAGTGCATGTTCCATCATATACTCAGTAATGCAAAATATTTGAATCTTTGGCACTATTTTGAAAAACAAACATAGGATTTTTGGGGGGGAAGGGGGGGGGGGGTAGCCTCTCATTTTTTTTGCGTGATAGAATAGCATGTGCAATGGACTTTTCTTTGCAAACATTGTGCTTGCTCTAAATTTCAAAGAAACAACTCAATATATTTTACCAAGCTTCGTATGTTCATTGAGCGAGAGCTTACAAGGTTGTCAACATAATGAGACATGATGCGTTTTTATGTCCAAACATTACTCCATACAATGTGTGGTTCATTGCAAACAATCTAGCTATTTATGTGAGGTGCCTGAAGGAAATCCTATA